TATACAAGTTTCACTTTTTAAATGGAATTACTGAAATCAATCTACTTTTTCATGATATTCTAATTTTATGACCAGCACCTGTATTTCAGAGAGGTCAGTCATTTCTATTGGAATAAATATTTACAAAAAAAAAAAAAGAATTTGCAGGCAGTCAAATGCCTGTCAACAGTACCTCCTGGACTGTTTTTAGCATTAGAAGTCAATGCCTTTTATTAAGGATTGTATGCAATTGCCCATAATAAATTAGTACTTTGTTGTAAAGTGGAACATAATAGATTTAAATTTCCATTTATAATTCTACCCAAAATCTGGCATTTGTCTTCAGCCCCCTTCAATTAGACATAAAATAATATGAGCACATTTAAATGACTTCCAAAAACTTAAAATACATAATCACAGTGAACTAAAAGCTGTTCTGTGAAAGTCTAAGAGTTTTTATGAAAATAAAGATTGACAAACAGCCCAATGGAAACCTTGCAGGTTAGAGAAAGTTGTGTTAAAGCGCACAGGAGAGTTTCATTTTAAAAAGTTATAAGTTCCACAATACAAATGCATGCTACCTGAGATTTTGCTTTGAAGAACAAAAGTTTAAAAAAAAAAAATACATGCATTGAATTTTATTTTTTCTACGAAGTTTGTAGCAGTGATACGAAAAGCTATGAGTGTACAGCACAAAAAAAAAACTTGAAGATATAATATTTTTATTAAAAAAAAAAAAAAAAACTAAATATGAGCTCAAGCTAATTTAAAGCTTCCTTTACCGAGAGCCGAGATGACACTGCCCAGGGTGACCAGAGACTTGTTTATGTTGGCACCTTCCTTCAGCCTGGTGCCAGTGGTGTGTGTGCTATCTACTCTCTCACTGCCAGCCAGGTCCACCAGGTGGATTTTACTCCGTCTCTCATGTGGCAGCGCCCCATCAAACCATCCCTGTAATACAAAAAAAATCAAAGCACATTTCATAAAATGCATGCATACTTGTATTTCAGGACATAAGAGTGTATACATTTTTAATAAGCACAGATGGAGGTTGAACAATGACGTTAAAACGAGATTAAAATAAATATAGCTCAAAAGAAAAGGAATTCAGGACTTACCTGTGTAAATGTGATGGTGAAAATGGTGTGTGAACGGCTGCTGAAGTCATTCATGCCTGTGCTGGCTATGGTGCGGTTGGCATTCCCAAGAATGATCAGGCTCTCCATATTACTCTGGCTGTGCACCAAATGTTTCGATAGGTCTACGCAAACAGTAAATATTTGATCAGACTCTTCAAGCATTTTTGCAAGACATTTTGGACGAGATGGACAATTAAAAATGAATTTTGCTTTACTCTCAACATAGGGTCCATCCGTAGGATGCTCCCTCACTTTAAGGCCAGCAGTTTCTGAGCAGGGTGTTCTCTTCTTTAGGAGGTCCTGTACACGCTCATTGTAAATCTCAAGATAGCTGGTATTAAATAGAAAAACAAGATGCAAGATTTTGTTAAAAAAATAAAAAAAATCAAAGATTGACACTGGACTTACTATGTTTTTTTTGTACCAGTTATATCAAAACTTAACCACTGCTTTTTGGTTTAAAGACACGTTTATATTTGTTAGTTATGAATGCCACAGCTGCTTTTTCGAAGTGAAATCAATAGATTTGCTGGCATTAAAATGTATTATTTGACAAAGAAACAAGCTTTTAGCCATAAATAAAATAAAAAGAATGTTGTAAACAGAACTCTGTTTCATCAATTCTAGTACCAGTTTGATCCATGTTTGGCAGAAATACCCTCTAGAATTGGATAAGGCAAGATAAAGCTAAGAAACAACCAAGGATCAAGCTCTTTATAAATTAGAAGACCATTGTCATTGTACACAGTGGATGGGAAAAAAAAAAAGTTCAAACAAAGAAAGAGGCCACAGATTTCCAACCCTTGAAAGGCTGCATGGTCAAACAGTAATTTATCCATTCCTATATACACTGAGGATATGGTTATTTTGTGACCTGAGAAAACATTTTAAAGCACGGTGAGGTGTGGGTAGCATCATGGCTTTACACTGGTTCATCCCAGGGATAATGGCATGTTGCACGAAGGGAATAGCATAATTTTAAAAAGCCACCACCAATTTTTCAATGTCCTCTCAAACCACCAGCTGAACAGTGCTGGACACTGATCCATTAGGGCAGGCAAAGCAGAAGAGTTTATCCTTGGTTTGGTTTAATTTCACGCCGTTCTTTTGAAAGTAATCCAAAGTGCTAATGCAACGTCAAGCAGCTTAAACAGCAACTTTCATGGCAAAAATCACATGAATAGTTAGTAGTCCAGATAGTAAGGTATACATCAGGGAAATGCAATGGTACAGGAAAAAAATGCAATGAGGAAGAGAAGATGACGTGCAGCTTAGTCCTATGTTTGAGTGCAAAAAACATCATGCATCTTCACAAAACTTAAATGTGGAAGAAAAAAAAAAACACTAGCTGATGAAACTAATTCAGATTACAGTTTTGTTGGTCGAACCATGGCTACTATAGCCAGACCACTTTGTTCACTGAATAATGGCTTCATAAAAAGTAATGCACTAATGAAACCTTATTTTATAACATTTTGACAACTGCCTTAACCAGTTTTTGATTTTTCTGTTTAAAATTCATAAATGCCCGTCTCCCCCTCTCTTTCTATAGTATTGCTATTTGCAGATGGACTGGAGCCTACCCCACCATTGAAAGAAGAATTAACTTTTCACAAGGTTCAGCAGATTTTCCAGCAGAGTTGAGGTCAGGGGATGACAACCATGCCATGAATTTCTTTTCCTCATTTTACTCCCTGAGACAAGAAATAGTGATGCTTGGTGTATAATGGGATGAAGCATTGTTCAGAATGAAAATCTCCTTACTACCATCCAATATGGCATCAGAGGAATTAAGTAGTATGAAATTAGATCATCTGTATTTGTAGGTACACAGCAAACATTCTGTGATGTTTATTTGGAAAAGATCAGGGGGTGTAACTTCTGTCATCTGTAAGCATTAGTAGTCATCAATACATTGAAAAAAAAAAAGACTCAACTGAAATAACCTGGCAGATGTAAGGGTGGCTTACCTGACTTCTGTATGAAATGACATGGCCTCACTCTTACTTCTCTTGGAAATCTCCAGGAACAATTCCTCACAGATTCGTGGGATTAAACCTTTATCCGCCTTAAAGAAATAAGTTGTTAGAATCAATACAGCAATAACTAATCTTACATTCAACTTTTTTTTTTTTTTAAACACATTTAGATCCCATAATATAATCTTAATCTGAGAGTTTACTGTATTGTGCAAACAAAACTTTGGCACATGCAATGAATGCTGAGCAACAAAAACATCAGCTCATCTGATATGGAGTCACTGATGCATAAAAGCAATTCCAGCCTGAGCTGTGTGCCCTCTTGTTTTTAATTACAAACTTACAGACAGTACGTATTAAGAGCCATATATAATTATCTCTGACGCTGACAGCAAATCTGCTGATGACCTTGCACAAGTCCACACATAAGAAGCCTCACTCATAATGCGAGATTCCCATTGCAGTGCGAGGAACAGACGTTTGCTCCAACCATAACATTTTCTGATAAGTGCAGAGAGAGAAGCCAGGATAACAAGGCTGCAGTGTGTTTTTAAAAAAAGGAAAGAGGTCAATGCATGAACACCCAATTGCATTAGCTGCTGTATTTCAGAAATCTATATAACTAATGCATGTCAAGTGCCTATAGATTGTAGCTCTAAAATAGAGTTACATTACTTCAAATGTTTACAGAGTCTGTCAATGTGCAACCCAGAGCCATGTGTGAATGTTTCATTTAATTGACAATTATCAGACAATAGTATCTTGTACACCTCAGCAGATTTTACAGAGATTTTATATGACAAACACAAATTGGTACAAATAATAAAGAGGATACTGCTTTGTTTTGTTTTTATTTTCAACTAAAAACCTGAAAATGGCTGTAATGCATTGGTGTTCAAGCCCCCGTACTCCAGTATCTCAACATAGAAGCGCCCCTCATTGCTTTGTGAAGAACTAGCAAATAGAGTCAACTTATGTTTAATTTTATCTCAGTATGAATCACTGTTCGGTGAAGGTTCAAGATGTTCACCGAATGAAAAGGAGGAAAATCAAGCACAGCAGTTTTTAAGAAAATTGTTATGGACAAGTTTAAAGCAAGGGTAGGTTTTAAAAAAAAAAATTAGGGCTTAAACAATTAATCAGATTAATCATGATTAATCGATTATTGAAATAAACATCAACTAATTTAGTAAAAGATTAGTCATTAACTGGAGTATAGGGATTCTAAAACATGCCTTTAGCTGACAGAGCGGCCCACTTAGAGCAGCAATTATACCAAAATTGGAAAAAATTGTAAATTTATAAAATCATTTTGGATTTAACATTAAAAACATTTTCTTTTGTCAATATGCTCCATCCAGAACTCAACAAGTGGAAAAGTTTTAGTTTCACCTGTTAATTTTGTAAAAAGTCATCTTTAAGGAATTTTTGGACTTTCAGATTATTAATCGGAAAAAAATAATCGACAGATTACAGCCTTAATAAAAAAAAAATTTTTAAAAAAGCAGTGCTTGAATATTTTACTGTGGAACAATTATGAAGGAGATGTGGGGGAAAAAATGGGAACAGTATGATCTAATTGAAGCCTACCAAAGATACCCCCTCCACCAGAACTCACAGGCTGGGCAACAAGAACACCAAACTACAAGGAGAGAATTAGTTTCTCTGGAGGAGCTGCAGAGTTTTACAGTTCTGGCAGAAATATCTGTACAGTGGATTGTATAGTTTATATAGGAAAAAAAGGAAGATGGCCTATACGGACAAAATATGTTTTTTGAAGGAAAGAAAAGGGAATAAGCTCCCCTATGCCAAACCCACATAGGTGGCAACATAATGCTGCAAGGTCAAGGTACCTGGCTAGAGTCGGTGCAGACTCTTACAAATAAAGGGCAATCCTGGAAGAAAACCTGTTAACTGCCCTTTCTGCCCAAGCTCAATTCCAAACAAGGTCATTCTCTAGATTTACAAATGTGGTGGGGAAAATTGCAAAGAAAGTTTACTGTATACATAGTGGGCTAGAAATAAATCTGTATGAAAAAATATTAAAGTGAGTCAAAATTTGGCATGATTTCCTTCTAACTCTCACTGAGGAATATCTATTTTTGGTCTCTCATTTATGATTATATTGATATATTTTTAAAAAGTTTAAAGCTTTAATGTTGAAAGAGGTAAAGCAATTAGAGTAAATATGCATTTTGTAGCAAAACTCCAGAAGACATTTTATGTTTACAGAAAGTGGAGATGATATAAATAATCAATAATTATAAATGAATTAATATTCAATGTCAGATCTCAGGCTACATATACTGGCAAGTTTATTAAGTGGAAAATTTTGTTTATTTTGGTAGCTAATGTCTATGTTCAAATGAATTTAAGTTATTTGAAACTGAAAATGTAATTTATTTCAAACTGTAATCAATCACTTTTTTGTGTGGCACAAGGTTATTTGTTTAAAATATTTGTTAATTGTCTGAAATAAATATTCATTCATTCTTTCAGACCACTGATCTAACACAGACTTTATTAAATAAAAAATAAAAAACTTTGAGCAGGTTTCCAGCTGCAGGCCTGCAGACTGAATTTAGATCTTCACAACAATTTATCGAGACCTTAAGAGCCAAAAAGGTACATAATTTCGTAAAGAAATGCATATGCTCTTAAAATGTAGTGAGGCATTGCTTTAGAATCAAAGATGCAGTGCAAGAGAATGTCTGATGTAGCCACATGCTCAGGAGGAGCAAATCCTGCAAAGTCAATAAATGTCGACATGCAAACAGTTGGGTCTCCTTGGATAGAAACGTTTTAACCAACCTGTCGGTATAACCTGATTCAATTGTCTCTGTAAAAAAAACATTGAGCTTACAGGTGTTGTGAATTGGCTATATATATATATATATATATATATATATATATATATATATATATATATATATATATATATACACACATGCAAATAATTGAAAATTTTCTTCTGGTTAAAAGTAAAAAATAATGGAAGTAAAGATCTTAACACCAGATAATGAAATCAGGTTTTATACATATAGCTAAAACTAGTCCTGCTAAAGATTTGACTATGCCAAACTGACCGGATAGAAAAATGAGTTGGACATCCCTGTTATAGGAAGGTACCACAAATAATACATAAAAAAAATAAATAAATCCTACTTTGTTTCCCATCATGGTGTAAGATTTTCCTGATCCCGTTTGCCCATATGCAAAAACACAGGCATTGAAACCATCAAATGTTGCTTTTAAAACGTCAGAGCCCAGGTCCTTGAAAATCTGATTGAGAGGGGAAAAAAAAGAGAAAGGTTCAAATACATAAACACTGTAGAAGGTAGGATTTTAGATTTCAAAAATACCTTCTCTTGTGATGCAAAGGTTGGACTGTTTACATCAGTTGAGTCATATGAATAGTCATATGAAAAAGTTTTCCCTCTGTCCTTCAGTTTGTCCCCTCTGCAAGGTAAAGGCTGCAATATAAAATGAATGGTCCTCTCAGTAATAAATTAAACAAGCCATTTCTAAACACCTTTCATGAAACTATGTTGTACCTTATGAATAGATGTGCTGTTCCCACTCATGTTAATAATCACCTTCGAAGATAATAGCTTTTCTCTGTTGAAGGTAAAGTGGCGTGACGATTAATTTTAGAAAGTTAACATTAAAAATGAGAATGCATCCTTTTACACCTACCTTTTATTCAAAGGACGGACTCGGACCGCTACACGCACCGAAGACATTGTTTGCAAAATCAGAAGGAAGAATAAAATATATGTACAGCCGCCAGTCTACATGTATGGTTCCCCACTTTTCTCATTAAACGTTTGTCTTCCTAATTATTCACACCTGGGCTTTTATTTTCACTGCGTGTTCTACAAAAACAAACCACTAGAGGGCGCCAAAGCACGCCATATTTGTTAACTATCTGTGGGCTGTTATTCGTTTTCTAAGATTACAATCTGACTG